CCTAATTGCAGAGGAAGAGAGATCGAGTGGGGGGGAAAGGAAGACTCTTCTCTGGGATCTGACCCTTTAAGGGAAAATGATGCCACCATCCCCTCCACTCTCCGATCCCATAATTCTCCCCATCTTAGGGATGGAACAACCACGAGAAGAGAGAGACGATGACTACCACCACCACCATCACTAATAAAAATAGCAGTGACTAACCTTAATGGAGCACGTATTCTGTGCCAAGCACTACTCAACGTGCTTTAAATAAATTAACTCATTTGACTGTCACAACCACACCACGAAGCAGGTGCTATTGTCCCATTATACAGTGAGGAAACTGAGACTCAGAGAGGTCCAGCCACCTGCCAAGACCACACGACCGGTAAGGATTGAACTGTCATGATTAAACCCCAGCCCTCTGGTGCTAGACTCATATCCTCTGCCCACTATAGACCTTGCAGTGGGCACAGCCCCGTATCCAAATCTAAACAACCCTCACCAGGCCCTGTCAAAAACTCTCATCCCTTTGCCCTCCACTAGCTGGTCATCCATGGCCAGCAGTAACCCCCAGGCACAGCAAGGACCACCAGGGATGCAAAAGGTGCGGGCTTGCCCTCAAGGAGCTTGCGATCCAGCTAGAATACAGGTGAGCACACAGGAAACTCACAAGGAGCAGAGAGTGTTGAGGAGTCCCACGTGTTTGCCAGAGAAGGTCTAGGAAGGTCCCTGGGGCAAATGGACCTGGGACTAGGACCCCTAGAGTGGCAGAAGACCCAGGATTCAATCCAGATGTGCCTGTGGCCCCTCACTCGCATCAGCTCCCGCAACCCCATCCTTCTGGGCCAGGCCCTCCAGCCTCTCACTCCCCGCCTGCCCGAGCTACAGGCTCCCAGCCCTAAAAAGGCAGGGATCACAGAGCCCAGACTAGCCCTGGAGGAGGCAGCGCCAGGGACTGGCTCAGGCCCACCTTCCACCTCTCCCACACCAGCTTCAACTCCACAGAGGCCAGTCACCCTGCTCGGGGGAAGGCAAGGCGGGGGCCAGCAGGAAGATGGTCACGGCCACCAACCTGGGTGGAGGCTGCACTGGGGACGCAGGCCTCCCCCTCGGGGATGGGAAAGTGCCTTGGGCGACTGGCGAGGAGGAAAGAGAGGTTGGCCGGGTGTGACCTTGCATAATGGAGGGCCACAGGGAGGGGGACATGGCCTGCCAGGTGGAAGCCCTGCCACCCCCACCCCTGGTTCCAGCTCACTTGTGCCCACACTTCTGCACAGTGATGGTTCTGGAGAGCTAAAAGCAAGCCAGCCAAGGAGCCACCAAGCCAGAGGCCATGTGGGGACAGTTGCTGGGGACAAAAATCTAGACCTGCCCCCTACTCCCCTCACACACAGTCTCTCCCTCCCCCTTCTGATTTGGTTTTTTACTTTTTTTCAGAGTCCAGTAACTGGGAGGGCTTTCCTGCTGACTCCTCTACCTCAGCTGTGCTTCAGCTTCCCTTTCTGGGATCAGAGACTCGTGGTCTCAGAAATAAGCCAAAAAGCCAGAACCGCTTGCAGGCAAAAGCCTTCACCAGCCGGCCTAGTTCTCACCCAGCTGCCCACCCTTGGCACACTCTGGCCTCCCGTTCCTTCCCCACGCCCCTCTCCCCATCGCCTTCAAACCCCAGAGAAGAATATCCTAATTAAGTAGCCTCATCTAGTCCTTGACTGGAGACAAGGAACTGGAGTTAGACACTAGAAAGGACTTCCCTCTCAGAGCCAGGACTTTGAGGGGGCTGCCCCGATCAGAGGCTGGGGTTGACTCAGGTAACCTCAGTCCCCTATTCCTTCATCCCTTCTGCTCAGAAGTAGAGGGGTCACAGAGGGGCTGTGGGGTGGGGGCTGGCTGGGGTCGGAAGGATGGAGCCCAAGGTGGGTCCCAAGCCCATCCCGAACTCCCCCTGACTCCCCACCCGACACCTCCATCACGGGAAGCCCAAGCCTTCATGCATTTGGTTTTGGGACGTCTATAACCCCACCCCCACTGTCTATGCTCTCCTGCCCACCACAGGGAAAACAGGTTTGGAGAGGCTCCTGCAAGGGGAACTGCTCCTCCCCCCATCCCTCTTGAGAGGCCCTTGAGAACAACTGCCTTGGCTTGTACCCCCTCCCCATGCTAGGTACATAAACCACTTCGAGCTGCCCTGACAACCCTGCATTATTTGTAAATGTGGAAACTGAGGCTCAAAGGAGACCCACCCAGGTTTTTCTGCATCTGGGTCTTGGCACTGTCCTCTGCCTACCATGCTCAGGCTGACTGAGGAGGCCCCTTTGGGGGAGGCCAGGGTGGGCAGGGGCTCGAGGTGCCCAACATCCTAGCCCTCCCCCACCCCCGCTGTGTCCTTGAATGCTGGTCACAGAGTCCCTCAGCAGGGGGCATGAGCTCTCACGACCGAGGGTGAGAGGCAAGGTCTGTGGTGTTTGCTGTGCCCTCCACTCCTCACGGTGTCACAGAGCCCACAGGTCTGTCTGTCCAGCCCTCACAGAGGTAACCAGTAGGCAAGGCCCAGAGTGAGCCTAGAGGAGAAGGCAGAACCCCAAAACCTTTGCGGGAGGCAGCTGGGGCAGACCTGGTGGACAGCTGAGGGTTGGGCGTGAAGGAGGGCACAGTGCCAGGGCACGGCATCAGGGTCTCTGCTCCTCACACACCGACCGGGAAAGGAGCCCTATGAGTCCTATCTGTGCCCACATCCCAGGCCAGAGGCCAGAGCTTCCTGATCCTCCATTCTGGTGTCAGAGAATTCCCCGACTCCAAGAATCCCAGGCCCTCGGCATCCCAAGAGACCATGCAGGTCATCCCCTCTAACCACATCCCAGCCCAGAAGTCCTTCCAACCAAGCCCTTGTCCAGACTCTGTCTGAACTTACCCAGGATGAGAAGCCCACTACCTTCCACGGCAGCCCCCTCTCCTGCTGACCCGGCAAGGCCCTTAGGAGGCTCTTTAAAGTTGAGTCGAGCATCCACCTCGGTCGGGGCTCCCCTTCCTTCAACTGAAGTAAAGTCCACCCCCCCCCCGCTGCTTCCTGCTCCTACCTCAGTAGAAACAGTACCCTGAGGTTCCTAAACTCCAAGGCTTCAACCACAGCACATCAGATAACTGAGGAATGTCACAAGACAGTAAAGTCATCTCTGAACCCATATGCATCCCAGTCCAGCCCCACTCTGTCCGGCCATCAGCCTCTCGGTCCGGTCACTAGCCTCTCTGTCTATACTTCCTGACACAGCCACCCCCATGGAAGTGCTGCCCTGGGGCTTTGAGGGAAGTCAAGTATGAAGAAGCGTGCGATGAGGGATGGGGAAGGACAGACAGAGGAGCTCAAGGCCAGGGGCTTGGAAGTAGAGGGTCCAGGGGCCTCCACTACCACCCAAGATCTCAGCTCCAGTCCCCAATGCTGGCTCCCAACTCTGGCAGTCCAACTGGACTGGCTGAGACCCTCCCAGCCTGGCCCAGGCCACTCTTCCCTGGCTTCCCACCCTGCATGGGGAGTAGAGTCCAGACCAATTCCAAGCTGGGTCCCCAGCACTGACTGTTTTCAGGGCTCTCCCCACTTAACTCTCAGTTCCAACCCGGACCCTCTCTCCCTCACCTTGGGCCAGCAATGTCAGACAGAAGGCACCTGGGGAGATCTGGAGTGGGGAAGACAGGAGTAGCCTCCTGCTGACAAGGGCTGGGGCAACCTAAGGCCAAGTTTGAGCCCCAGCGGTCCCCACCCCACACCAGCAGCTTCTAGAGGAGAAGAGAGAGAGCTCTCCCCATGCCCTCTTCACCAGCCTCTGCTCTGCCTCACTGAAGGGGCATTTGGGGCTTTCAGAGGAGACTTCCTTGTCCCCAGTGACTCTGGAACTCTCATTTCCAGTTCCCCCTCTTAGTGTCACCCCCAAACCGCCTGCCTTCCTGCCCTCCCCTATCCGACTCCCCCTCTCCCAGGACCCATCCTACCCCCTAATCCCCCCATCCCACACCTTGCAAGGAGCCCAGCCTGAGAGCACAGCTGGCTTCTCAGAGTTGCCCCTAAGTCACCCCACCCAGATTCCTCCTCTAGGACAGTGGCCAGCCTAAAACATCTGGGCAGGTCGTCCTGGCCCAGGTCCTGAATTGGGGGTGGGGGACAGACACAGAGGACAGCTCTGCATGGATTCTCCAGCCTGGAAAGGGATGGCAGGCAGGACATCAGAGTCAGAGGAGGAGAGGAGGGTGAGGAAGAAGGAGGGGGCGGAAGGCAGCGCCCATGTCTGTTCATTAACCACCTGGATTAGCCATTGCTGCCCAGAGGGGTAGGAAGGAGTAAGAGCTGGTGGTTGGGGAGGGGTCAGGGCTCTCATGCCAGGCTGTGCCCACAGATAAGAGAGCAGGGCCCGGGCTGAGGAGCAGAGTGGGAGAAAGTGCTTTGAGCTCTACCCTTGCCAGGCCCACCTCCCTGAAGCCTAGGTCGGCCCCCTGGGAGCAGACAGAGCCCCAGGGAGAAGGGTCCCTGACCGCACTCCCGAAATAAAGTGGAAAAAACACCCACATGCCGGCCATGGGTAGGCAGGTAGCAGAGGAGATCCCCAGCCTTCCCTGTTCTTGGTCCATGTGTCCCACCCCACTTCCCCAGCTGGTCAGTCCCAAGCAGCCACTGACACCAGCAACTTCCCAGCAAACAAAACTCCTGACTGGTGGCTCTCGCAGAGCTCAGAGACAGCCACACCCCAGACATCCCTGCCAGAACCACAGAAACATCTCCACACAGGGGATTGGCAGGTTGGCCTCTGGGGGCCTGGTCGAACCCAGAGACATGGGACCAGGCAGGCGAACCTCATCTTCCCCTCATGTGCTCCCTGATCTCTTTTGACAGCATTAGCACCAACAGCCCTGCAACCCTGGCGGACTCCATTCCCCTCCGTGCGCGCGCGTGCACAGACACACACACACACACACACACACACACACACACACACACACACACACACAGATGCACGCACACACACCCTCACCTTTCCTGCAGAAGAGTCACTGAGAAGGGTGCGTGTCTGAGCCCGGGGGGGGGGGGTGTCCCTGGACAGGGACTGTGGCCAGTGGCAGGGGTGCGGTTGTAGCTGGCGAGAAGCTGGTTGCCCAGAGGAAGGTGGTGGTGAGTGAGCTTGTGTCAGGCAGGGAGCAGGGTGCCAGGAGCAGGGCTGGTCCCAGGGCCACTGCTGGAGGGACTGAGCAGAGGGCTCTGCTGGCCTGGCTCCCTCCTGGACAGCCCATGGGCGGGCCAGCAGTGCCCCGCCTCCTTCCTGGAGTCAGCAGCAGTTGGTCCCCTCCTCCGGCCACACCCCCTTTAACCCCTGCAGCCTCTGCTGGCCGCACTCTGCCCAGCTCTGGCCAGGCTGGGGCAGGGCACAGACACCTGGGCAGGAATTGCCAGGAAGGGTGGCTGCCCTCCTTCCGCCACTGGCTCAGCAGCTTCCCTGGGGGCCCAAGGGTGGTGCCAAAGGAACTGGGGGACAGGAATGGGGAAGGGGGCCGGGAGGGGTTAGGACCCCAAGACGTACTGGACTCCATGCAGAGAAAGCCAAAGAGCTTTTAGTGTGGATGTTTGCTGAGATGCTGATGATGATAACAATAATATAGCAACTCTCAGTTTTTCTAGAACACTCTGCTTTATGTATTTCAACTCATTTTACAACTAGAGGCCAGGAATCTCACTTCTGAACTTGTTTTTTTCTTAGCTGTCAAATGTGGGATAACAATCCCTGCTTGTTTTTCTGGGCTGAGTGAGGACATTGGCGACTGTATATTCAAAAGTGATTTAAACTGAGCTCTAGTTAATGAAATACAGGCTTCAACTCTCTTTGAAATGCATCAGAAAATAAGATGGGCTGATGGAAATGTGATAAAGAAAATATACCAGCGTGTTCATTGTATAATCTAGGGAGTTTACCACACAATTGCTTCAACCTTTCTATACATATGAAATTTTTTCATAATTAAAAATAATGGGGGTAGAGTGATGTGAAACATTTAGTGCACCCCATCAATGGCCAAAGCAGGAGCAGATAGGATTATTTAAAAAGGAGGGGAGAAAGTCATTTGCTGCCGACCTACTGGAAGCCATGCAGGAAAGACTGTTCTCTCTCCCTTAATCTTCGACGCATCCTGGTTATTACAGCTGGAGAAGGTGACCTCAGAGCCATGAGGTGGCTTGTGGAAAGCAAGGCAAGGCCGTGCAGAGTAGGACCTCAGATCCAACCTGGTTGGCTCCTCACCACCCAGACTTCCAAAGGATGAAAATCCCTTCTTCCTCTTTCCCATCTGGACCAGTGACCTCCACCTCTAAGCCCCAGTTTCCCCTGCAACAAGACGAGTGTGTGCCCAAAGGTCTTTAAGAGCTCCAGTCCTAACATTCACTTATTTTATTAACTCAGTCAAACCTTTCCCCTGAGTTCAGTTTTCTCCAGGAGTACCATGACCAGAGGGTCCCAGATGGGGGACGAGATTTGGGAGCCTTTGGGGTCAGAACCACAGGGAGATGTCAGCACTGTGGAGCGCTGCCTCGCCCCCAACCAGGGACAATGAAGCCCTTGGGGATGGGGAAGGAGAGGGGTGTCTTCTCAGGGCCTTATGTGGGAAAGACAGAGATCAGCACGTCATTCCACTCACCCTCCACCTCCAGAGCAATAAGGCCTCATCCTTTCCCAGCTGGAAAGACAGCCCGGGGTCCCAGAGTCCTAGATTCCAGCATCTCATAGCCCACCAGCCTTGGCAGCAGCCTCAACCTGTGAGTGAGTATGCTGCCCAGAGACAGCAATGCCAGTGCAGACACTCATCCTCCTCGGCCCTTGGCCGGGCCCCAAACCAGGTCTCCCACTCACTGGCCCCAACTCTGAGGCAAAGATGCCCTAAAAGCCTAACCATTATCCCTATCCCCACCTCAGACGGAGGAGGCCTGGGTCAGCTCTGGTCAGGAAAAGGAAGTCGGAGGATACTGGGTCCAGTTCAGGGGGATGGGAGGGATGCAAGCTATAAAACTGCAACCCGGCTGGGCCTGGTGGCTCAAGCCTATAATCCCAGCACTTCGGGAGGCCAAGGCCAGAGGATTGCCTGAGCCCAGGGGCTCCAGACCAGTCTGGACAACTTGGGGAGACCTCATCTCTACAATCAATCAATCAATCAATAATTAGCTGAGCGTGGTAGCCTGCACCCGTAGTTCCAGCTACTTGGAAAGCTGAGGGGGAAGGATTGCCTGAGCCCAGCAGGTTGATGCTGGGATGGCCATGAGCATGCCAATGCACTCCAGCCTGGGCGATGGAGTGAGACTCCGGCTCAAAAATAAATAAATAAAAATTAAAATAAAATAAAATTGCAATTCCTCCCACTCGCAGGTCCCCAGAGCCGCAGAACGCACCATCCTTGCCTTCTCCTTCTTACCTACACCCATTTTATCCCAGTCAACACCAGAGGGTCCCATGCCCCGTTACCAGCCACATCCAGTCCTAGCTCTGCAGTGGGGCATTCCAGGTGATCTGTGCCACAGTTGACCCCCACAGCCTTCTCTCCCTCCATCGCCCAACTTTGATTTCCAGGCATTTCTCATCCCACCATCCCCTCTTCTCCCTGTAAGCACTCAAGCTCAATTCAGAAGCCATATTGTCCTCAGATCCTCCTTCAGCTGCTCCACTGGCTGGGCACTGGCCCTCCCCTGAACACCTGGGCTTTTGGTCACTTACTAATGCCCTGACATACAGCGGGTTGGGTGTACTTTTGCAGCTCCCATTTGGCAAACAATGATTTATTCATCCTTTTCCTCCCCCTTGCCTTCTTTGTTCAGTGCCTAGCACAAGGTAGATTCTCAATAAACGTGGAAGGAATAAGTGAAGGATGGAGAGATGACTGGCTGGATGGTCGGTTCATAATTCAATAAAAGGGCATCTATAAATGCTTAATATGGCACAAGGCTGTACCAAGATAATCATGTGCAGACTTTTATCTTTGAAACTGTATAATCGCAGGAAGAAACACTGGCTTTGCTGGGACCTGGGAGCCATTAAACTGATACAAAGACATCAGACTACATCCCATAGATCCCCAGGTCTGAGGTAGATCTGGGGTTCCTGAGAGATCCTTTCTCCAGCTGCTCTCAGGAGCCTCTGGAGGTCGCACTGTCCATTCCCACCCCAGCATCACCCTCCCACCCAGCCTGCCTGCTCCAGCACCTGGGCATGGAACCACAAAGTCAGCAAGTCCCTAGAACCCAATGAGACAGAGGACTTGAAAGAAAACCAGCAGCCTTCCTCCTCCCTTCGAAAAGCTATCCCACAGCCCTTCATCCACCCCCGGCTTTCCCAGTGCCAGTCCCACAAACACACACACACACACACACACACACAC